CACACATATTTCCTTGCTTTAACAGTTGCAAGGGATGAAAAGAAAGGACACCCTAAGTAGCAAAGAACACACCTGGTACCTAGATCTTGTTTTCTAATCTTCAATAAAGGAATGGAAATTCCTTAGAGAAATGGCTGATTCTAGAACTGGGGTATAATGACCCTGGAGCATTTTATAGTATCTAGAGTATCCTGTAGAAAGAAAGTCCTCAAAAAACAAACAAAAAACTATCCCCCATTGATATGAGTATATTAAGAGGACATAGGGCAACTAAGAATTCCCAAAGCTGGGACAATTCCCACAAAATACAAAAGTGTTGGATTTAACCCAGAGTACAAAATAAATATCTATGAGTCCAAACTCATATAAATAAATGATTGAATTGATAAAAAATGGAGAAGAGACACATTTCCCATGCAAAATAATTCCAAATAACTTAAGTAGATATTCCCCCCTCAACGAGAAGGAGCTCAATTCTGGGCTCCTTGTGTGGGGTGGTGCTAACAGTGACTTCCTTCCAAGGAGTGTAATGGTATGGAAAGGGGAAAAAATAGTAACTTTGTAGCAGAGAAATCTGACAAATGCTGTCTCAGCCAGGTTGACTGAAGTCAACATCAACAGTGATAAATGATGTTGATAGTTTATACCTTTGACTGGTGACTTGGGGCCACTCATTAAATTTGTCATGGCCTCAAAGGGTAATAAGATCTACTATGATAGCCTTCTTCAATTGTTAAGCATAGTATCTACAAAATACCTCCCATAGCACCTGGCTTGTATTCATAACTGAGAATTAAGTGTTTGAAAAGTGCCATAGGTGTAATTTTTGTGGTGAAAAAATATTTGTTTCAATAAATATTGACTGACGTTGCCAGTGATCTCTTCATACTTCTGAAATGTGAACATTATTATTCTGCTACGGCTGCATCTATTGTTAGCAAAGCTTCATGTTATCTCTGTTTCAGTTTCTTAGGCTTGAGTTGCCTAAGTATTTCCTCAAAAAATACTATGTAAGAGAAAAAAGCACAAGCTGGGCTATTTGAAGCTAGACTTCAGATCACTCTTAAATGCCCTGCGATTTCTGCTTACTGTGGCCCGACCAAAGCTGTAACAAAGAATCAGGATATCCTGCTGTTGTCTGTTCTTACAATGTGTCTCCTCTGTTGGCAATGCATTACTTCAATACTGATTCGCTGGCTTTGAGATTGGGCATTATTAATGAATGCATAGTGTTCAGTAGCAGTGGTAGTTGACACTGATGATAATGGTATTATGAAGAAACTGGAGTTAATGAAACGGCTTAAGAAACCAAAAGATTAAAATATAACAACTGTGTGATAGATGTGCTTGCTTGGAAGGTTGATGCTGTATGTTCCCAGTTTCTCAAAAGGAATTTTAGCTAATTTGTAACAATCTGAATATGTAGGAGAGTTTTTTAAATCTGTTTTTAAAACGAAAAAGTAGGCAAACTAGGTATTCCAAATTGCTGCTTGGAGGTTGAGAGATCACTGGCATTGGCCTATTTAAAAGGGTCACGCACTTGATTTTTGCCTCTGACCTCTTTTCGTCATCCCTTCCTGTGTTAATTGGACAGACTGGACACTGCTGTTGGGGAATCAAACCTTGTGCAAGAACAGCCATGTAAATATCCTTATCATGTGTTTCTTAAGACGGATTGTTTTGTTTTGAATTTCTGATTGATAGCCAAAGCAGCCGGCATCTCAGATCAGCTGGTTCCAGGTTTCCTTTGTAACAACTGATAGGGTATTTTCAAGACGTGGAATGCAACTGTAATCTGTACCAAATTAGGTGCTTATTTTTAACATTGTTTCTCGACTATATAATTCCTCAATTTCCATAACTCACTGAAATGGCATACCATATTCAGTTTGTTGCTTCTCTTGCCAGCATGTTAATTTTAACTCATGCCCAAGATAAATGTAACATTTGTTTTTAACATTTTTTATCCTTATCACCCCATTACCACCATTAAAAATAAAGGCGTAGCTCACATTTTTGTCATAAACTTTTCTTCAGCAGTCTAGTGACAATAAAAGTAATTCTCCCCATAGCTGCAAGGTAAGAACACGCAATGGCTGATTTTTTAAAAAGTTACCTTCCAACACCAAAGATTTTGTTTTTAAATTGATTTTAATTAAGGTTTTTCCTTTTGAGGTCTTTCAGAAAATGATTTACCCATTCACTTAAGAAATACTTACTGAGTGTCTACTATGTTCCAGGCAATATTCTTAGTATTCTTGGTGCTGAGGAAACATCACAACAGAACAAAAACCAGAACAGAACAAAAAAAATTCCTGACCTTGTGGAGGTTATTATTATTTTTTTTTAAATTTCCATGTCATTTAATGTATTTTTTTTAATTTTATTTTTTATAAACATATATTTTTTTCCCCAGGGGTACAGGTCTGTGTATCTCCAGGTTTACACACTTCACAGCACTGACCATGGCACATACCCTCCCCAATGTCCATAACCCCACCTCCCCCTCCAAACCCCCCTCCCCCCAGCAACCCTCAGTTTGTTTTGTGAGATTAAGAGTCACTTATGGTTTGTCTCCCTCCCAATCCCATCTTGCTTCATTTACTCTTCTCCTACCCCCTTAACCCCCCATGTTGCATCTCCTCTCCCTCATATCAGGGAGATCATATGATAGTTGTCTTTCTCCGATTGACTTATTTCGCTAAGCATGATACCCTCTAGTTCCATCCACGTCGTCGCAAATGGCAAGATTTCATTTCTGTGGAGGTTATGTTCTAATGGAGAGCAGACAGACAGTAAGAAAGAAAACAGTAATTACGTTAGAAGGCTTAAGAGTTATGAAGAAAACTGAAGCAAGGGAGGGGGGATGGGGATAGGCAACATTTTAAATGGGACGGTCAGAGTAGGTTTCTTTGAAAAAGGTGACATTTGAGCAAAGATGGGACAGTGGTGAGGGATCTAGCCACGCAAGTATTTGGTGGAAAGATCTTTCTAAATGGAGTATGGTCAGTGCAAAGACCCCAAGACAAGAACATGCCTTGCTGTTATAGGAGCAGGAAAGTGGGAACAAAGTGCTTCGTAGAAATGAGGTCATTGAGGTGGATGTGAGGAGGGACTTGAGATGCTAGCTAGCATAAAGTTTTTTAGGTCACAGAAAGGAACCTGGCTAAGAAAACTAGGAGCTAATGATTTTGGCTTGCTCCTAGGTCTACAGATAAACTCTTAAATGTTAAAAGCACGTTCAGGTCACATTACAGGTTTGTTGTACCAACAAACCTCACGTTATGTCTACACTTACTTTACCACCTTTAGAACAGGTGAAAATAGGTGAAAATGTATCGCTCCTGGAATGGGAAAATATGTGCAAAAAGTTAAATAAATACTCAAGGCTAAACGCCTAAATTACAATTTTAATTCACCAGCTGGTATCTTAAATATTAATAAGTCTCCTTCTCTGTTTTCTTACTTACAGGTTGGAACAGTATCTTTTTCCAGCTTCCTTGTTGTCTCTAGTATCTTAGTTTCCCTTAACATCTTAGTCCAGATATTATTTTCCAATAGTATTTCCTATTCATGGCTTAATCTGTCAATACCAGTAACACATTTTATTGTGTTGCAGAGGTCAGAATTCTGCCCAGCCAATAATATGGAAATTATGTATCAGATGGAGATCAAAACAAAACTGCTTTGCCTCCATTAGCTGAATTCAGTAAAATGAGTGTTTTTCTATCTAAATGAACAATTTTGTTTTCTTGGTGAGGACACAACAGAATAGTAGTAACACAAGTCTGTAATGCCTTCACTTAATATTTCGAGAATATAACAGTAATGTGTTAAGTAAACTTCATTTTATAAAATAGTAACATTGTTAAGGAGTAGAGGTGTGGGGAATGAGATTCTGGAAAGGGGAATGAACTATTGGCGTTAGTTTCCCCCAATTGTACCCCTTTGTACCTGTGTAAAAAAGAGATGGAAGGGTTCTGCACTTCAAATATGAAAATCTTCAAATTTTCTTGTAAACTAGTTTCTAACACACAACAAAATAACACACTATGACAGCAGGTTCAGGTAAACTACTTTCACTCAAATTCAGGTAGAAGTGGCTGCCTCCAATTCCACACATGGCAACCCATCTAGTGGTAGGTTCAGAATGGTGTCAGTCGCAGGGGCTCCTATGCGCAGAGTGCCAGAGTTCAGTTCCATCTTAAGATGGCACTACTTATACGGACAGCTGCTGAAATCTGCACACCCTGATACAGAAACATAATATATCAAGAAGCCAGGAGAGCTGTAGAGATGGCAGTTAAGAAGCAAAAGCGGCTTTCCTTTTTTTCCCTTTTTCCAGGTCTCTTAGAAGCAGCGAAACGAAGCCCTCATTGTTATGCAGGTGGTGGCCAATCACCTAATCTGCGACAGTCCGAACGGCTAGGATCGTGGGTAAAGCTGATATGCAGGTATCAATTCTACAACCTGTCGCGCACCCCAGAAAAGGGTTCGCTGACGACTGGTAAGGACAAAGGAAAGTTTCTGTCAAAGTTCCGGAAGACAGGGACTGCGTGGGGAGCAGTTTCAGATCACATTTAACCCCATTCGCGGAGGGGGCCGACCCTGCTCTTCGGTCGCCGGTGGGCAAAGGAAATGCGAGAGGGAAGTTTTTCTACAGGACATCGGCCGCCTTGTCCCCGGGAGGCGCGAGGTGCGCAGCGCCAACAGTCGAAGGCTCGGTCTCTGCCGGTCTCTCTCCACCCCAGAGGCGGCCTACCCCGGCGTGCGGTGGAGGACGAGCGAGCTCCGCTGGCGCGCGCGCCGCCTCCCGTACTGGCCCTGCGCTGGGCCCGCTCTCCACTCCCGGCAGTCCCAGGTGGGTTTGGGAACCCAGCTTTGGAGGCCTCACCACCGTGTCGGAGTGGGCCCCGCGGCTTCCGCCTTCACTACCCCACGCGCCGGCGCCATGGAGACGGTCACGAGTGGCCGGCGGCTCCTGCGCCCACCAATGGGAGCGCACGTCGCAGAGAGACGCGGACGTCGCTCTTCCAAGATGGCGGCGCGTCCGTCGCGAGCAGCCGGGCCGGGGGGAAGCCAGCGAAGCCGAGTAAAGCCGCCGCCCGGGAGAAGACTGAAGGAGCTGTTCCGGCCGTTGGCGGCGGCTTGGGCAGTTTTCGTTGCTGCTACGGCCGTTGCCATGCGGCGAGGCTAGGGAGGAGCTCACTTCCGTGGGGTGTAATAATGTTAACAGAGGTAAGCGGCGACGGCGGCCAGTGTTTACCTGTGAAATGGGGAAGGGGCCGGCGCCAGCTCTTCCGAGAACATCATTTCTTCCGCCCGCGGGCCTGACCCTCTGTAGAAGGTCCCGGGGCCGGAGGAGCAGCGGGGATCCTACAAGTGCCCCCTGAATAGGAGCTGTGCTGACTCAACAGAGTCCCACCACCTCCAGCTGCTGTTCCTCCTCTTTCGCAGTTGCCACTTGCCTGTCGCCCGTGGCACTGGTCACCCTCCTGCTGTCGCTACCTAACTCATCGCTTCCTTCGTGGTGTCCCCTTACACGCTGCTCTGTGGCAGCGTTGGTCTCTCTGCGTTGCTGCTGGTTTCTGTTCCCCTACGGTTTGCCCGAGTTCTCCCTTCTCCGGTCCCTGGCCTCCAGGGCCCTCCACTTCCAACCTCGGTCAGCATCCTGGGTTTGTCACTTGGCCAGACCGGTTTTTACCCACCCCCTACTTTGCCTACTTAGTGAAGTGGACCTCCTTTCTCAAGCGACACTTGAATAGCCCAGTTATATCACCGTCCTCCCTCCCCCCTCACACCCTGTCACCTTTTTAAGTCGTAGGAATCGGGAAGTTCAGTTTAGCACCTACACTCTTGATTTGCTTAAGGCTCCCTTGGTACCCTTTGTGGAACAGTTTTGTTTTGTTTTGTTTTGTTTTTAAACTTGGACCTGAAATGGAAGTAGGGCAGCTATGACTAGCCAATCAGTTTCCCTTTTCCAGTGCTTCATGTCCATTGCAAAAAAAGTAGACTTTTTGAAGAAGTAGAGTTTGCCTTTACTAGCAGTACTTTAAGGGGAAGAACTAAATTGGTCTAATTAAATGCTTGACCCAAGTTAACACAGTTATGTGTACTGGTATATGCTCGTGTAGGCGTCACTGAAGATAAATTCTGCAGCTTGTGAATTTGAAGAAATATCTTAGAAATTACTCGCTTGAAGGCCTTTGAAGGTTCAGATGTCAGCTGTCAGGGACTAGTTTGGGTATCTTTGTGGGCTGAGTTAAGGATAGGAAACAATTTTAATGGGCAACAGGAAGTATTCCTACCTGGGCCAAAAGAAAATAAAAACATTTGTAGATGAGTGGCTTTTGTTGTGTTAAAAAGTGATAAAAAAGGATTTACTTGCCTTTCCAATTTGTTGAACCTCTGAGGAAGTTCACATTTTGGTATTTGCACTTGATCTGCTCACAGAGCTTTGGAATATGATTTATCTGGTAAATACTGGTTGATATTCATGAAATCCTTATTTTTTGTAGTTTGTAGTTCACTTAATATTTCTAAATCCCACATATTTTTCATTCCTGGAGTTTAATTTTTGGAAATTATGATGTATCTTAAGTTTCAGTTGTCATTAGCATAAAAAAAAGTCCTAAGTAGCAGAAGTTCTATTTTTACCTTCAGTGTGATATTTTGGTGAGAATAATTAGCCTTATAATAAGTTTCAGTGGAGTCTTTAATGTCTGATATTTTATGACATGATCTTCTGATGAAACTTGACTTATGTTAGCATGGTTTAAAGGGTTCTAATGCTATCACATGAGCTCAGTGTCTGCTACTAAAATGCTAGTGTCTTGATTTGGCAGGACTGTACCTTTTAAGCCTCTGTATTGTAAAGTGGTTTTGTGTTTCAGTGAAATATTTTAAACAGTACGTCATTGATGGTAGTAAGATGTACTTTAGTGCTTTGTGTGTGTTGATTGGTGCACAGCTTGTAAGTGGCTGAGCCAGGTTTCCCACCTTGGCAGTCAGTCCTTGCCGAGTCCATTCTGTTAACTACTACAGTCGATTGCCTTCCCGAAGGAAGGCCCAGATTAAAGGCCTAGATTAAATGGTACTTGGATTTTATCTTTGGTTTTTAGTAGTTATTTTATAGATGAGAAAACTGAAGCCCAGAGACTGGTCCAAGGTCAACATTTATTAGTGGCAAATGTGAAACTTGAATCCCATCTCCTGACCTAGTATTTCTGACTGTATAGCTTTCAGTGAGTAATTTTCACCTCTCTTAATAGATTTTATAATACATTACTTTTTGCCCGAATATTGTCAGTAAATAAACTGAGAATTATTACTTGAGAAAGACTTTTTGTTTTACCTTTAGCCTTTTGTTTTTAAGGCTCAGAAATAGTCTGTTTGGAAATACATTAGATCTGTTTGGAAATACATTAGATATAAAATTTTACTCAGTATTGGTTACTCAAAAATTAGTAGTGTGGGACTCCGTTTGACTGCTTCTCTTTGTTCCAACATAGATCAGGAGATATTAGGGGAAGTGATTTAATTCATGTTAGACCTTAAAATATATAATGATGAACTGTGTGCAAAAGAATCTCTGTTCAATGAGGAGACTTTGTGCTCAGAAAGTGGTGAGTGGTACTGTCTGCTTGGTTCTTTGATATCTCAGCATTGAGGTGGGAGATACTGTCTTCAATAGCCCGATGAGAAGACTGAGAGTTAAAATAGTTGGCTTAAAATTATGTAACAGGTGGTGGAACCAAGAGTCACACCTAGGTCCTTTCATTCCAGATTGTGTGCTGTTTTTGTGACTTGGTATGGAATGAATGCATCACTAATTTTCTTTTGTACCTGATAATCATCAGTAAACTATTTTTAGGTTTATTTATTTTTTTTAACCAGGATGAGGATGCCAGGTATATAGATACATAATAGTAACAGTAGTGATAAACATTCATATGAAACTTCAGTTTTGCATTTTGTCAAAATAGATCTTTGAAACCTTTCAGAACTTATGCCGGTGGCCAATTAAGGGCCATCTCAAGTTAATGGAAAAAATTACCTAGTTGAGCAAATTGATATGTATGTTGAACTTTGAAACCTGTGATGGTAGATTAGTGTGAATTGAAAGTACAGCTCCAGTATGTCGTCTTGCTTTTTGCTTTTTTTTTTTTTTTTTTAAGATTTTATTTAGTTATTTGACAGAGACCACAAGTAGGCAGAGAGGCAGGGGGAAGCAGGCTCCCCACTGAGCAGAGAGCCCAAGGCAGGGCTCGATCCCAGGACCCTGGGATCATGACCTGAGTGGAAGGCAGAGGCTTAACCCACTGAGCCATCCAGGCGCCCCTTGCTTTTTTCTTTGGTTTGTTTCCCTAAAGGGAGTTAACAGTTTTCGATTTAAACTTTTTGGCTTCAATTTGTATTATATTCATTATCAGTACAAATGACATATTTAGAAGACTTGCTAGCCATATCTGTGTGTCTTTTGCATTTTCCAAATAAGTATGACTGGTTTGTCTGTTTTAAATGTCTAGTTAATCTTTTTCTCCTTCTACTGTCTTTGCCCCTGTTAGGGCTTCTGCGATTTTTTTTTTTTTTTAAAGATTTGATTTATTTATTTGACAGAGATCACAAGTAGGCAGAGAGGCAGGTGGGATGGGTGGGGAGGGAGCAGGCTCCCTACAGAGCAGAGAGCCCAATGTGGGGCTCGATCCCAGGACCCTGAAATCATGACCAGATCGGAAGGCAGAGGCTTAACCCACTGAGCCACCCAGGTGCCCCAGGACTTCTTGCTCTTAATGTTACTCCTATTTGTCATAGTGTACTTGAAAATTATTTGTTTAATACCTATTTGCCCTCTATTCCTTTCTTTTAAAAAAAGCATAAATTTACATATATCAGAATTAGGGTATGGGATGTTTACTTGAGGCTTTGTTTCAGTTAATCTGAATTTTCGAAGCATTAGAATGTAGTGAAATACGTTAGGATATAAAGAGGTATTTAACAATAAATTGTCATTAACCACATTTTTAAACTTTTTTTCAAAAGCTTTTAGGGTTATGAGTCTGAACATTTATTATTACAGAGTACTAAAGGTATAGAAGATATAGGATAATATGTTGAATTTAAACCTGAGCTGTGGTATACTCTGGAGGTGGTTATTTGCTAATAACCAGTTACTAGCCTGTTGACATTGGTCTTGTGCTTTTTTAAAAATACGGAGTAAAACATTGTAGCTGTTTAAGCTTAGTAGTTTGGGTTGTGCACAGATGTGAGGTGTTAGATAAAAATGGTTTATATTTGTCACTGCCACCCAGATTTATTGGTTTTTATATACTAACGCTAATTGTAGCTTTCGTGGTTAACAAATAAGATACAGGTGGGAAAAGTTGCACTCCATAGCGCTTTTAGAAGTCCCAGGTTAATAGTTGTTGAGGGAATAAAATTTTGTTTTTCAAATACTTTCTGAAGATATTTGCACAAAGGAAGTCAATAGGTTTTTTCTTTCGGGATTTTATAGTTTTTGATAGGTGATTTGCTCTTAAAGGTGATAGAGTTTGCATTATAGTACAGTGTTGTTTAATCATGTGATGGTAATTTTATTTGTCAGTTTAACTGGTCATGGGGTGCCCAGATTAAACAGTTATTTCTCGGTGTGTCTGTTAGAGTGTCTCTGGATCAGGCTGAGATTAACATTTGAATCAGTGCACTTTCTAAAGTAGATTGCTCTTCCTGTTATGGGTGGGCACTCTCTAATCCCTTGAGGGCCGGAATAGAGCAATAGGTGGAGGAAGGAGGAATTCGCCCCCCCCCCCTCGCCCTGCTAGAGCTGGAACATCCCGTCTCATTTTATCTCTTTTCCTTGGGTTGGGATTTAAATCTTTGGTCCCTGGTTCTTAGGCCTTTGGACTGAATTACCACTAATTTTACTGGGTCTCTAGCTTTTGGATGGCAGATTGTGGGACTTCTCAGCCCCCATAATCGTGTGAACCAGTACTTCATAATAAATCTCTTTAAAAAAATCCATACTCCTATTGGTTCTGTTTCTCTCCAAGAACTCTAATATAGAGACTCTGGTGTTTGGATGGATTGTTTCAAAGTTTGTTGACCACTTTTCCATAGACATTGATAAAAAATTGCTTTCTTAGCTAGTCTACTGTATGTTTATAATTAAAAGTGCTATACTGGGCGCCTGAGTGGCTCAGTTGGGTTAGCGGCTGCCTTCAGCTCAGCTCAGGATCCCA